ATTTTAGACTGTGCTTTTTAAAGAAGATATTGGCCACGTAGTTTAAAATGAAGCGGTTCTGGGGAGGAGCATGAGGCCTCTGCCTTGCGAGGAGGGTGGCAGGAGGCTACACGCGCGGGCTGAGACCTTGCAGAGCCGCGCCAGGTGCTGCGGTGCCGCGCAGCCTTTTCCCGTGGGAATGTTCCCCTGTGCGGAGGCGAGCACGACGGCCTGCAGCCTGGCAGCAATGACAGAGATGGCAGATCCGCCTTGCACATTGAGCTCCCCGGAGAGGCTTCATTAATGTCCTCCTGCTGGCACTGGGTCGTTCTGCATGGGGATGGGTGTAAATTCCTTTAATGCACTGGATGTCCGCCTGCTGCTTCCAGTGCTGGGTTTGACTCTTTGTTCAGGGCAGGAGTGGCTTGTACTTGTTTGGAGGCCTCTGTTATAATACTAGACTTTGATGGTTGGATTTGGAAGATTTGCTTATTTTACTTTGTCACTGGCCTATCCTGGAGAATTCTTCATATGAACCAGGAAGAAAATTTGGACACAGCCCCCTGGTTAAGCTTTCTAAAGTCCAATTCACTTTTAGATTCTTTCACTTATTTAACAAGGTTCAAATATAATATCATAAAGAGCATCGAGGCTGGTTAGCAGTGTCAGCAATGCTAATCAGACATAATTCGACTGACTGTCATGTAAAGGAAAGTAAGATAAGGTAGGGGGATAAGAAAGCAAGCCACTTCAAAAGAACTCCTCTGAAACCCAGCTCTGCTCTAATCTGTCTTTCAAAACTGGCTTCTCCTGCCCTTGTAGAATGAATCAACCTGACATTTTAGCAAGTTTTTAAAGAAATGGGGTGAAGTGTTGGGAATGCATCAAAGGGGTGAAGCAGAGAAGATCTGAAGAAGATCACCTTTTATCTGATATCCTCTTTTTTATTACAGAGGAGCTAAAGTAGGTTAGGTCTTTGTCCCCTCTCTTCACTTTATGAACTTCTGTATTTTTTACTCTGTGGAACATATTTTAGACTAAGAAGGGCTCTAATGCAGGTATTATTGCATGTAACTGTTGTTTATTTTATTCTGTACATATCAAGTGTAGCTGATTAAGCAATTTGTCAGGATGGGGTCTTTGCCTTCTGGCTACGTATTATGTGTACCCTGTATACTCTGAAAATAATTCTGAAATAGATCAAAACCTTGTGTATTTAGGGTCAAATGCACAAAAGAGAGATCTTAATTATCTCAATCCCATGTAAATACAGGAAAAAAGTGTTTCTCTGAAAGTTATAGAAGATAAGGGATTCAGAAAGAAAGGAGTAGAAATTCATTTTCAGTGTACAACTGTCTTTGAATGCTTATCTTTTCATATAATACTATGTGCATATTTTTATCTTGCACTCGTTGTGGTAGTAAAACTTTCACAGTTTTTTTTTTCCTTAGACGAAAGGTAGACCAGTGCTGAGTGCTTCCAGAAGAGTCTATTTTCAGTCATCCTTGCTGCTGATACTCACCTGTAGGAGCTGCCTTGTGTATTTATAAAAGATAATCCTTTAGTACTGACTAGTCTGGACTTCAGAAGAGCCAAAAGGTGTGAATGTTTGTTAGAATGTGTTAATAACTTTCCTTCTAGTATGGTATGGAAGTGTTTCATTTCGGGATTCCTTGCCAGTATAGCTTGAGCTGCTGGCTGTGAAAAAAAATGTATGGAATGACAGTCATGTGAGTTGAAGTGTTAAAGAATATAACATAACCTACTAATGTGTATATGTTTAAACTTCAAGCAAATGTTAATGTTTATTTTTTGATATTTTTCAGAGACGCATGGAATTACATTTAGAATTCAAATCACTATGAAAGAACTGCTGGACACAGATTTACTTTTAAAGCTGTTATTTCACTTACCGGTCAATTATCCATCAATTCTGCCAGATATTTCTGTTAACTCAGACCAGCTTACAAGGGCCCAGTGTATGGATGTGAAAGATAAATTACTTGAGCAAGCAAAGAAACACCTTTCTGAACCCATGGTACATGAGCTGGTTCTTTGGGTACAACAGCATCTTAAATACATCGTTAGGCAATCAACAGCAGTTTGCAGTGAAAAAAACCCTTTGTCAAGAGAAGCGAGCACAGAGGATGGAATTTGGATGCTCTTCTTGCATTTAGATCACATGAGAGCAAAGGCAAAATATGTCAAAACTGTGGAAAAATGGGCTTCAGATCTAAGGCTGACTGGAAGACTGATGTTCATGGGCAAGATAATATTGATTCTTCTCCAGGGTGACAGGAGCAACATTAAGGTGCAAGAACAATGAATGCTGACTAGTTCTATTGATTTACCACTGGAAACCTATGTGTCTGAATATTTTTGTGTGTGTTTCTTCTAACATAACAATTTTGGAAGCAGATTGATCATTAGGAGAGTAGGAAGGCCCCAAAACTTTCTTCTGTGTTTAAGAAAAATAAGTTTTTCTGTGAGCCTGTGTTGCTTTACTTTCCACAGTAATAATTTCCCTGTATTTCCCATGTTTCCTGACTCCAGTGTGCTTAGATTCCATCTCCTGTATTCCTAAAATACTCCAGAACATACCCAGCAAATAAAAAGTTTGTGAAAAGAAATTGATGACAGGCATGTTTCTAGCTCATTGCTGAATGTCCCTTCCTTGGTGTTCATACCACACACCAGGGCTTGCCATATCTTCTCTGTTTTTGTGAACTCCCACTGGATTAGGCAGGTCTTTGTGGTGATGTCGGAGGAGGAGATGTTGGCTTTTCAAAGCCAGGTTCCCTAGATCACTTGAGAATGTGTGTGACTTAAAGCTACTGGATAGAAACAGGCATGTGGTGTTTGGGATGGGCACTTCCAAAGTTTGACTAGGTTCTGAAATAGATCTTTTCATTTAACACAGGTCTTGCATTTTGCTAAACTTCAAGGATACTAATATTTTCTTCTTTTTAATGCTTAGGAATACTTGATTCTTCAGAAAACTTCTAAGGTAGATGTGGACTCGAGCAGAAAGAAATACAAAGAGAAAATGATTAGTGTGCTGTGTGAAACAAAGATACAGCCACAGCATGCAAGGTATAATTTAGTACTGTTGTGGATAGAAAAGTAACTGAATTGATAATTACATTCTAGGCATGTTCGTGAATTTTCCTTGTATGTTGTAGGTTTCAGACATTTGAAGTCAAAGACTATTCAACTATGGACGAGCTACAAAAGGAATTTGAAGCTGCAGGACTTACAGCTCTTTTTGTTGAATTTGTGCCTTCTCTCTTAAAATGAAACTCTGGACTTTTTGAGCAAAGCAACAGTTCAGTGTGGATGCTGACAGAAAATAAAAAGACTGATTCGGCAAATGTCTCCAAGTTTTTCTGGAAGAAGAAGAAGAAAAAAGTCAGAAGTAGCCATTCTCCTGCAGGCAGCAAAAGGCAATTTATATATAAAAAATGATGATGCTTTGACTTGGTGTATTGATAACCATTTTGAAGAAACGTGGAGTTAATTGTGATATTTTCACGGCAAACATGAAAAACTTGAAGAGTGGGGTGGTGTTACGCTTAAGTTCTTTCTGCCATTAGAAACTTTCTCATTCACTACTTGTTTTCATTGTTTTGTTTTGATTCTCTCTCATGATAGTTTTTTTTCCAGTGGCCTGCTAGAAAGCATGATTAATTCTGTCTTTCAAAACTTACAGTATTTATTAGAATATTTATGTAAAAAGCATATTGAACTCACATTTGAGTATGTGAAGTCAGCATGTGGTTTATATCCCCTAAGTGTTCACCTGCAAGTGTTTCCTTCTCTATTTGTCTGACTCTGTAAATCCTTGAATGTTGATTTTTTTTTTAAGAGAAATTTTGTGTCATTTGGAACCTTAAAAAAAGGTGAGTAATGTTAACGTTTTCACTTCAAAAATGGGAGATTTAAATTAATTTAAAAGTTGTATAACAGCTAAGGTAGTAAAGCCAAATATTCAGTTATTCTCAGTTAAAAGGTCTGTGTTGAGAAATTGTGTGTTGCTAGAGTCTACGGTCTTCAAAAGATGCAGGGGCTCTTGTCTGTATGCCAGCAAGATGTGGCAGGTATCAGAAACAGAAAGGGTCTTATGCACATGTGGTGTAAGGAAAAGTAATAAGTGACTCTGCAAGTCTGTGTTTTGTAAGGTTTTACCAGGTGGCTTTTATGTCCTCAGACAAATCAACAACTTGAAATCCCCTACTGTTCTGGAAAGAGAGTAATAAGGTAATTCCAGCACAACTCGTATCAAAATCTGAGCCATTAACATAAAGTTGGGCCCTTATCTGTTTTGCATGTAAATCATCTAAGTATTCTTTCTGTTGATTTGGGGAATTGGGTTGAATTGTTTATTCAATATGTCATCTCAGTTTGGATATGGCTGCAAAAATAATTGAAACTTAGTTGTGGCTGTATTTTTTGCAAGATCAGGAGTAGACTCTCCAACTCTTTCTATTAAAAGCAACTATAATTAGCTGTTTAAGAAAGCTATGTGTAGAGTCAAAGACTGCAAGTTGCACTCGGATATAAACTCATGTATTTTCTTGAATATTGTTACCAGATACCTCCTTGATTACCTGTTCGGTCAGAAATGACATTCTGTAGCAGCCAGTGTCGGGGGAGGAAGTTGTTTTATTTTTTTATATATATAAAAATTTTATATATACATACAAGTGAGCAAGAAGCTAAAGAACAAAATTCTTCTAATCTGTGTTTATTCTCTTGATGAATGAAGTTGTTCTAAGAAGCTTGATTTTTTTTGTGTTTCAGGAGCCATATTTCAGAAGCAATTTGTACAGTGGATTTCTGTAACTTGGATTTGTTGCTCACTAACTTGAATTGGATAAATCAGTAAGTCCAGTTTGGGAAAGGATTACACTTCTTATGCCGTGGCTTGGTGTACTCTAAGAGAATTACAAATCTGATCAGCCTGATACTGGTCAGACAGCAAAGAATAACATGAAAACTAATGTCAGCCTGATTTTGTCAAAGCAAATGCTTTTGCCTACCCATCTATCAGTCACTTAAGCTTGAATGGTATATAGGAGTATATCTTGTTTTCAGACAAGTAAACAATATTCTTAAAGGTTGTTCTTTTGGAAAGATATTGCAGCTGTTTATTAACTGGTGGTTTGTTGGCATGTATTGTAAAAAGAGCTGAGTAAGCCTGTGAGCCCCCAGGGTCATAGAAGTCACAGACTATGGTGCATATATTTCCCTCCAAAGGAAGAGGAACAGACATACAAGAATAACATTCAGGGAAATGAAGCTAAAACTGAGAATAGTTAGAGTGCACATATTGGTGCCTGAGAAGCCGGTAGAGTGTATATAGCTATATAGTCAGACATTTCACATGCAAGGAAAAAGAAAGTCCACAAAGAGAAAATGGTTTAACCAGTGAAAGTAGCTTCATTGTGGATATTGTCTTACAATTAGTTCTTTGAACAGCATGTTTAATAAAGCCTCATTTCCTGTGGGTTTGCTTCTGCCTAAGTACATGTGAAGCCTTTCCTGTGGCAGAGATACATGTGACAATGCTTTTCCAGTTGGATTCTCCAGTGTCTGCTAGCAGTTAGGCTTCCTCTGCCTAACTCATTAAAGTAGCAATAGGATTTTTATTTCTCTCTGTCTGCTACCTGTTTTTATGGAAGTTGTAGGAACTTGGTTTCTCTGTGACATCTTAACTTCTCATTCTGGTTGAAATTAACTGAATTCAAAAGTTTATTAAAAAAATGTAATATAGATATATGCATGCCCCATATGGACAGCACAGCAGCATAACCATAGCTTCCTTTGAAAGGCTAAAATGAAAGCTGGTGCTGTAGGACTGACTGCTTGAAAAAAACAAGCTTTGTAAAACAAAGCTTTGAATTTTGGTGGGTGTTTTTGGATGCCTTGTTTTACTAACTGAGAAGAAAACAAGAATGTGAAATAGGAATAAACCCCCCAGCCCAACACTGGCCTTACTAGCACAGTTGTGTTTTGTAGAGATACGTCATATCCAAAGTATTCACTCTAATCCGGAAAAGATTTACTCTGATCCAAAGAATGGAGTGATTGGTGTGCTACCATTCAGTTTAATGGCATGGGTAGGTATCCACTAGTGTCTACGGATGAGTCACTAGGTGGTTTTTTTGTTTGTTTGTTTTTTTAATGACTAGCCAAAGAGTGTCCAAGCATGCTGTATATCTGCATCTCCTGTGGTACAGTAAGGACAGTGTGGATAGATCTAATGAACATTTCTCTTTTTGTGCAGCAGACATGGTTTGAAGTAACCAGGAGAGGAACGTGAGGTACTGGATAACAATAGACAAGGAGTGCATTAGACTGATTGCACATTAACTACCCAGTTGTAACTACCCAATTTACTGACAGTCATTTCCACCTCGTGACCAAGGTCTGTACATGAAATTATCTCTACCTGTGTAGAAGAAGGAGTCAAAATAAAACTGCCTTCTCACCAGCAGGATCAAATATTAATCTTTTAAGGCACTATTTATAGCAGTCATAGTACTATTTATTTGTAACCTTTTAAAATGATTATTATTGCAAGTTGAAAAGAAACCTTTATATCCAGCACATACTGGAAATTAGCCTACCATTCAAGAGACTAGCATGGCTTCAGTGGAAGTGAGAAATGCAGAGTTCTAGATGAGGGAAACCCTTCTCAATAGGGGGCATCATCAGTAGTGAGATCACCAGCTTTTTTTAATTACTGACCAATAATGTAATTGTTCCCCCTATCATTTGTTATATGCTGTCACAGGGAAGAGGAAATACAGAACTAGATGAAAATCCTTGGAATGGTCTCTTCAAGCAAGTAAATGTAAAGTATGTTTTCATTTTATGGATAAGGTCTTTCTGTTGTTTTTCAAGTTTTAACTCATTTTTATGTAATACTATTTGCCTCTTATTTCTGTGTGAATAACCCCAAGAAACAAGAAGATTATATTATGCACAAAGTGCTGTGAAGTGCAACAAATAAAGCGCACCAAATAGCGGAAAGATGTTTTATTTCCATTATATCTTTTTTATAAAACACTTTTGAAAAGAAACAAAGATGATTTAAAACATGGTGTCCGTTGATTTGTTTAGTTTATCTGTGAAAATGTGTTCAATTGTGTTAAGAGTTCATCAGAAATAAGATGATAAAATATTACATGTACTGTATTTCTGGCAGAATTTGAAAGTGAAATTGCTTGTATTATGAAATAGTGTAATTTTTGGAATCCACTTTCTTATATCTTACAGTATTTCTAAGCATTACTGTCCCATCACTTTATGCGCAAGACATGTAACAGTGCCAACACTCTCTTCTGATTTTGTATTTTATAGGTATAGTTAATTTTATGTTATTTTATGTGAGAAGTATCATTATTTATGTGCTTAATTATGGGCATAAATTCAACCTGAAATGTAAATATGCTAATAGCATTTTGCAGTTATTGTTCAGAACTATTCTCATATCTAGGCTTTTATATCATTACTAGTTTGTGTTTTCTAATCTCACGATATTCACCTGCGGTGAAGAGCACTCTTCAAGTGACAGGAAAAAAAATGTGTATAAGACAGGTTTGCATAGTAATTTGAGGAAATCTTTGGATTCTAAAAATAAAATTCTGTAATATTTTCAGTCAATCATGCATGTGGCAGCCTTAATTTTATGCTATAATAAGGTATCAACTGTTACACTTGATTTTGTGGTTTTGTTTTTGTGTTTTTTAAACAATATAATGCAAGCAATCAGTTTGTATTCTGCATTAGAACATAGCTGATCATGGAAATGTGGTCAGTATTTTATTACTATTTTCATTATAAATTTCCGTTATTCATGGTTTATAACTTGAACACAAAATGTCATTTTACAATGAAATTTGATAGAAAAGGTCTCTGCAGGAGAACAATGGCAGTACTTTGTGCTTATTAACTTCAACTTTTACATTTCTGAGAAATGAAAACTGATTTATATGAAAAATAGTCGAATGATCACAGTTTTCTTGAGCAGAATTTAACAGCTAACTTGCCATGTTATAGTGTAGAGTCACCTGAGAGCTGCTGGTTGAAGGTGGGACGCTGTCCGAGGCCTTAATGGGGCTGATTCTGGCAGTGCCCAACTGCTCCACTGAAGCTGGACGCATCTTGAATGTGATACTGAGAACTGAGGGACTAGTTTCTGCTCTCAGAAAACGAAGAATGATTGACTGCTGCCTAATCCGAGTTGTACATCAGGAGAGAGGTCTGTTCCAGTCAATTTTAATCCCATCTCCGGGTCCTCCTCCGCATCCATGCTGCAGACGCTAATAGTCTAAGCTTTACACTTTTGCTAGTTGCAAAGACTGCTGCAGGGATTTAGTGCAATGATTTTAAGATGAAGATGCTAAAATCAATGTACCTTTAACCCTCTTGGGAGGGTAGAAAAAATTAACACAATGATTTGACTGGTCTCTGATCACTAAACTGAAATTGTACAGAAGCTGGATATTCTACGTACAGAAGTTGATGATATGAGTAGCACCTTTCAATCAAGATTTAGAAAAAAAATATATATTTTTTTTCTTTAAGAAGTTAAATAACTACTCCGGAGAAGCACGCTGTCCATGTGAGATGCTGAACAGAAGCTGAGCGGTATGGGTAGAGCTATGCCAGAGGCTGGTTTTTATTTGGTAGAAGTGGAGGTGTTAGAAGGGAACAGACGGCAATAGAAGCACTCGTGATGAGCCTCTTGGAGAAGCCAAAAGTTTTTTTAGTATTGATTACTCTCTGGAAAAGAGGTGTGGGGATATGAGCAAAGAATTTCCTGCCGTATCCAAGCTTCCACTAAGAATGTCTGAAATAAATATGTAGCTTCATTGTCATCTTCTCTTTTTAGAAGAAACTGCATGTAGAACTGAGAACAAGTAATGAAAGTTTTTAGTTATAGAGGTGGCAAGCCTAACTCAAGAGATGTAAGCTATGTAAAGGAATTCAAGTGTTTCTTTAGATGTTTTCCTAAAATGACTTGGGGGTGATAAGAGCTTTGAGGCAACAACCTCAAGAAAGTCTTACAAGCCTAGGAGACCAGGCTGTCATGCTTCCAGGTGGTTGGAAAGACGGATTGACGAGGTGAACACCAGCTTTCAGGAGTGAGTATCTGCGAAATTTGGGAGATTTGGAAAGACTAATGGGACTGACAAATCACTTGCAGAAAAAATTGGCCATTTGGGTGTGGAATCAGAGAACATAGGTAAGACTAATTTTTTTATGATACTTTATCTGCATTGTATTTAGAGAAGCCTGCAGTGGAAGTGTAAGATTGTCCTTTCTCAAGTACTGCATAATGGTTTAGGAGTTTTGTGTATTGCAGTTCCGTGTCTGTTACAAAGATTTGATGATAACAGGGTTGCAGTTTAGTTGTATCATAGGGTTTAACTATCACAAACCTACTTCAGGTCAAGAATTTTGTGGGGGATTAAAAACCACCCTGTAATTTAGGCAAGACGCACGTAGTAAGAATAAGAATGTGAGGGAAAGAAAAGCCTCCATGGGAATGGCTACAGATTTGTTTCTAAGATAATCCCTACAGTAAGGAAAGACTTCAGGGTAGCATTTACATGGACAAGGAACCAAAAATGCAGCAGTTCAGCTGGGCTGAACATGTAGATCAAAATTTTGGGGCTAGAAGGTCCTGGGAGTCTGTCTGGAAAGGAAGCAAGATAAGGCTTATATAAAATAGGGATAAAATTTCAAGGGGAAGTATTCATTTAAAAATTGGTGCTATGGAATGAAATGGTCATAGCAAGAAGAACAATTTTAAAATGGAATGAAGAAAAATGACCTACAGCTGGCCCATTAGGCAGGTCCTGCATGGTGCCATGAGGCTGAGGTGGGCTCCTAGCAAAGCAGCAGGGTGTCTGCCCCGCGGTGCCTGCTCCTGGATTGCTGGGTTTGCTTGGTTCCTGCCGCCGTCCTGTGGCTTTGCAGCAGCATCACCCTCACATCTACCTGCTAAAGAGCTCCTGGCATGTGGGACTTGGGGACAGCTGAAAACAGACACAAATCTTGGGAGTGCAGCCATCAGGCTGATGCTTTTCAAGGTCTCGGTGTTTAAACAATAATGGGAGTTTGGCTACTGAATGTGTAGTGGGATTTATAGTGTCCATAGAAGCACTGATCTGGGCTCAGAAATGTTTAACAGACAAAATACACTGGAAAAAAAAAACTAACTTAAGGCAAAATAGTCAGTTTCAAATCAAGGGAATGATCATAGAAGGTGAACCTATTCAGCAATGGGGAAAACTCTGCCTGAAAGTTGCACATTTTCATTGTAGCTGAGATGATTGGGTAGGGGGGAAAACTAGTAATTGGGGGTTTTTTTGCACTGTTGTTAATAACTGGGTAAAATAGGCAAATGTTTTTTCTTTTTTTTTTTTACCCGCTGTCTATAGAATTTTCTTATAAATGTATTACTAAGGTGAAATAGATCACTTGTGGGCAATTGTTTTTCAGCAAAAAACTTTCCCTACACTCATGTTGAGTGCAAGATTGGAAGCCCTACATGATATTTTAGCTGTTCCGATTTCTTATGGATCTGAAGTAGGAATGGGTTACAACTTGCTGGAAATCTCTTACTAACAGCAAATCATTAAAGTGAAGCCATTAATGATGCAAAATTTCAGCTTGTAAGGAATAAAGAAAGCTACGATAGAGAAAGATGTGTGTGTGTGTGTGTGTGTGATTCTTATAACCTGGTATTTTGCAGAAACTTTGTATAAGCAGCAGAAAGAGGGTCTGATATTTTTCTGGATAGAAATCAGGAATGCTTTTCTGAGCCAGCAGGAGGAGATTATATTTGTCCCGTTTAATTCCCACTTCATCATTTTCAAATAGCAAAAAGAAAGAGGTTTGGGATCTACTTCTGGAAGTATGCCATGAAGGTGTTACTGAACAAAGGTTTTAACAAACCTTTAGGTGCCATTCGTTAGTTTAAGGAGAAGAAAAACACATGGAAGTATAAAATTCTTTTTAAAGGATTCTGATTTATGTGTGTGTGTGGGTGCTAAATAAAAGATTGTTTTTCTTGTGTATCACACTAATTTAATTTATAGTGGCCAGAAGCAAGAAGATGAACAGAGGTCTGAGGAAAGGCTAGTTTCATGGCAGTGTGTGGCTTGTGGCAGTTCAAAGTGATGACTCTTATCTCATGCAAGGTACTGGCGGTATTTGAGAGACTAATGTCTGCACAGGTAAGTGTTTTTTTTTCTGTCTGTAATTTTTTTTTATTAAAGCTACAGAATATGCTGCAACATGCACCACTGAACAGTTGAGCTTATAGTATGTGAACAGCTAATCTGCAATAAACTTCAGGTTGTGCTCAAATCACTGAACTTGAGTTACTCCAAAAAATGGCCATTTATCTTTGGATGCAAAGTAAAAGGAGTGGACTTTTCTCTGACAAACAGAAACCTGTGGCCATGCAGAAATGGAGAGTTTGATTTTATTGCTTTGGCAGTACTGAAAAATTACTGTGTAAGAAATAGAAATGTGTGACATACCTGTGGTAAGCAGACTGCCATTTTAGCATTTTTTTTACTAGAAGTCTTTTGTGGCTGCTGTTCATTGCCTCTGTTTGTTTCACAAACCTTTTCATATTGAATGTAGAACAAAAACAATAAGAAAGGCTTGAGTAGTGATTGGCTTATGACAACAAAATTATTAGTTTTTCAGTGTTCAACAGTTATTTTCCTGCAAAGCAATAGCTGACAATTGTGAATATGGCAAATGGATACTATTGCTTCCCAGGGAATGTCTGTGGTCAGGATAGACCAGGTGTCTTTTCAATTGCTCTTTTTACTCTCCCTTTTGGATAAGAATGGGCAGGCATTTGGTTATTTAAGGAATGGGTTTGTCCTGAAAGTTCTCACTTTCTCTTACAGTCTGCATTAAGTGCAGGCTCCTGTGCTCATTCATTAGAGCATTAGATCAGGAGTTACCCCTAGGAACTAGTTATTTCTAAAATAAAGGATCTTAATAGAGTATGACTGGAAGTTCATCTGGCAATCACAGCTATCCTAGAATGTAATATCCCCTCAGAAAATCAGTGTGAAAAATTTCTGGTGTTGCTGGAAAGGATTGGAGTTTGAGAGTGAAGTGTTGTGTAGAAGGTGCCGTAGAGGAGCAATTGTGACTGCGCCAGGACCCCAGTACACCTTTTGGTAGTTTCTGTAGAAGAGGGAGGAGGTCTGTATGGAGGATAGAGATTCCTTGTGATCCAAGCTGAAAAGACTGGAAAAAAATGAGCTCCCGATAGAGTGAAAATAGTCTATGATGGCCAGCTGAGACATTTCCTTGTGAAGGAGTCTGAGCCCTCCTAGGACGGAGCTCAGCCTTCGCGTAAGCGCAGTGCCAGATGGGCATGATGACAGTCTGGCTGGCTCCCAGAACCGAGAAAGTATCTTTGGCAGCTAAGTCTGGAAGGAATGGGAGCATAATGCATTTTCTGCAGGCAAAGCGGGAGCTCAATCCCGGACAGCTGATATACCTGGCCACCTGACAGGCCCAAAGAATTGGGGATACATTAGAGTAGTTTTTAGGCTACATGTAAACTGATATTGATGATGCCTCTGGGAACACTTGATTGATACTTTCAAGATTTTCCCTGAAAATATGAGGATAGAAATATTTTTTTAAAAATCCACAACAACATTGTTTTCTACAATGCTGTTTGCTTTTGTGGTCTTGGTATACACCATGTTCTGCTGTGTTCAGAGATGTGGCACTTAAGGGAAATGACATAGTTGTGGAGGGGACTTGTACAGAGGATATGCGTGCATCTGTATGAGAAATGTACTCAGGTTTCATTGGGCAGGAATATCTGGCCTTTCTGAACTGGACAGTGCAGAAGGCCTCTCTTACTAGGCACCTGGGCTCCTGAACCCAAGTTTTGCCCGTTCTTTTAAGAAGCAAACCAGTAGTGAACTGAATGGGATGTTTCAGACCAAAGCATGTTCCAAAGCACATCACATCTCGCATTATATGCAGTGTTATCTTGTTAACTGTCAGTGTTTTTAGATGGGATGTTTTATCTAAGGGCAATTCTGGTGTGGTGGAAGTAAGGAATGTCCTGCTATCATGAGGCCGCAAGGGAGCTGGTTCTGAACCTCAGGGCCAGAAGACATAGTCCTCTTGTGTTTTTTCTCTGAAATACTTACACATTTGCTAAATGATAGAAAATGATCAAACTTGCAAGTGAGCTACACAGCCAAATAACCTTTTAGAGTTATAGAGTCTCACTCTGTGAAAAGCCATACACTATTATATAAATGGAACAATGCTCATTTTTTCCTCGTTAGAAATGCAGTTTATGTTGTCTACATAAAAGCAAATTATTTAGTGAAATGCCATGAAAATTCTTTTTTTCTCCCTTGTTTGAAACCAGTTTAATATTAGCTGATGTATTAACTAGTGTAACACCTCTGGTAGATATCGAGCCCCATATGAACCCCTTGAGTACAGGACACAATGTGCAGCAATGGCTCATCTCGCAAACAGGCTGCCTCCATTTCCGAGATATCAGGTGTGTGGGTTTTGTTTTTGTTGTTTTTTATTTACTTTTTCTCTCTGCCTTAGTAAAAATGAAATAGAGTGGGATAGATCTTCTAGAGTATAGTCCTCAATGTCTGTCCAGTCTGCTCTCTAACAGGAAAAAAAGCTGAGAGAGAACTGTGAGCTGAAATGGGAATAATACTTACTTTTGTGTTTTCCCTGAAATAAGGAATATTTTAGAGTCCCATGTCTCAGGCATGAAATTCTGTATAAGAGAGTTAAATTTAGATAGGGAGAGTTTGGGAGAAAGATAGATCTTAGCCCCAGGATTCTGCTTTTGACTCTTGGTTTGTCTGACTGTTTTTTTATGTCTTGGCAAATGGTTGCTAAAACGGGAGTCTGTGCCACACAGCCACACAGATTGCTGCAGAGACACGAGGAGGTGAAAGCACAATAATAAGGTCTATTTTAAATGTTTAAGGAATTAATAATTGCTGAAAAGCACAGATTGTTAGAAGAGCAAGCATCTTATGTGCAGTGTTACAGACAGATCCAGCACTTGTGGGAGACATTTGTGACAACAGTCTTTCAATGGGTGACATTTATGTACATGATGGAGACAAGACCTCTTTATGTAAAATTTACATGAGCTTTCTAATGTCATCAGTCTTTTCAGCTTAAAACACTCCTTGTCTAATAAAATTAACTCCTTGTGTCCAGTGATTGGCTTCTTACCCACAGTGTTTTTTTTAATCTAAAGGAGTATTTGGAACCTGGACAGAAAGGGATGCTTTTGGGTGATACAGCAGCACATAGTGAGTAAAGATTGAGGTGGAGAAGAAATACTGAGTAGAAATGCAGAATGAGGAAGAAGGGGTGTAAGGAAGAGGCACAGTGCTAGAAACCGACGCTAACAGTGTGAGGAGGGAGCGAAGCAGGGAGTGCCAGACAGGGAGTGCAACGAGTGAAGGAGGGAAGTTTGGAGAAGGCTGCCTGCAATATGGCTGTGCGTGGGCGCGGGGGCCTGCGTGCGGCACGAGCTCGGGGAGCAGAGCCCGGGGGCCGCGAGAGCCACGCGCCCGGGTTGGGAAGGCTGCCCTGCGGGTTGGCAGCAGGCCCAGCTGGGCCCCGCGAGGCCGCGTGTCCTCCCATGGGCTCTGTGGCAGCAGAGAGGCTGTGGGCGAAGCAGGTAGGTCTCACTGCTGCCTTGACCCCCATCAAGGAAAAACCACAGCAGTTACAGCTTCAAATGAGTCACCTCAGCCTTTTACATGTCCCTCTTCCCACAGAACTGCACCATTTGCAGTGTGGGCCGGCAGCAAGGACCGAAATTTTTTCATGGTCTCTAATGATTAATTTTCATGAAGTGACACACACGTTGCACTGAACTTGGCAGCGTTAGAGCTCAAATATGAGCCTGTGGTATGTTATTGCTCCCTCTGCATATGGCATTACCCACCTTTGATCCTTTCAGATTTGCAGCATGGGAATCGATAGAATAAATTTTTGTCGAAGGCCGCA